ACGGACGTGATGTTGATTTCAGGAAAAATTCAAATTTTGTTGTGGGTCTCCTCAGAGCACAGCTTTTGGGTGGGTCGCTTTTCCAAATACATTTTTTTTTCCGCTAGCAAAAAGGGGAAAGTATAAGGCTGAAACTGGGTGACATGGAGTTCCCTGAGTCTACTTTTCAGAAGAAAGAAAATTTTCGTTAAAACCCATGAGGGCACATTTTTGAAAATTCCCATTTTGCAGAAATTTTTTTTGATCCAGCGAAACAGAGACAGAAAAGTTAAACTTCCCTCAGAAGTACCTGTTTGATGACTGAGTACAGGAAAAACCCTACTTTTGAAAAATGTCCCCTTAGCGTAGATTATAGGAGGGAAATATTTCAAAATGTTTTCTCCACCCTTACAAAAAAAGGGACACATGAAAAGATTTCAAGTTAGGAACACTAGAAATCATAGAAGTAATGATATTGATAAAAATGAAGACTTTCGTCCTCATATGTCGTCTATTTCAATGGGAACGTTCTTTAAATATGATACGTGTTTGCCATTTCTTAAAGAACAAATGAATTAATCATTATCCAAGGTAATGGAGCGAGAGTTTGTTTGCCCTTCGGGTGCGAAGTAAATACGGGTATATAGCATGCGATACGGCAGTTCATTATAAGCTCACCCTTCAAAACTGTCTCGATATTTGTCCAAACCTTGCAGTCGTATCTTATCTCCGAGCAAACTGAGGAACGCTGGAATGGTTTCATCTGCGTAAAAAACGAAAATAAGCAAATGCATAGATACACATAGATAAATAAATAAAAACGGTAATGAAGCTATGACAAGGTTTTTGGCAAGCGTCATCAATGCCAGAGAGCAATTTTTTCTCACTGTTGTTGCACATCTCATCGTCCAACGTCTGACCTGGTTTCATATAATGCTCCTCGAGTAGCAGTAAATCCTGAAACACGCACAAAACGTAATAAGACGGATTATTTTAATGATTAATGATGATGTTCAAGCAATATTCTTATTGATTGCATAACTTTTGAACTTCTGGCGCAAATATTTCTCTGGGTCCTTTCTCAACGCGGTCATATTCCTGGAAAGTTGCTGGAAAGGATAATAACGATGTATTTAAAATTCCGACGCATGTCCCACTGTAATGATAAATGTTCAGTTTCCTGTATATATATATATATATATATATATATATATATACCTCATCATAAAATTTGTTTGAGAGTGGGTGATTTGCTAGAGTGGTGCGAGGTCGTTATTCTGTGAGCATCCTGAAAAATTGAGCAGAAAAGCATGCATTAATTATTACACTGCATTTTCTTGCGCTTCGTTCTTCTTAGTTTTACATTACTGTTTTCTTTCACAAGATTGCCCTAAACTGTGGAACACCTTGGTCTTCGTTCAAAGACATTTCAACGCAAAATGACCTACCTCAAAGATCACCTCGAACGCGTTGATCCACAAATTGTTGCCATTGTTGAAACATGGTCGACGGGCAGCATCACCAATGACACGGTTAAATTATCGGTTAAATTATCCTTGGGACTGACTGGTTAAGAGCTGTTCCGAAGGGATTGCAGTGAGACTAATGTCGAGACTAATGCTCCAAGTGCGCCGATGGCACGAAATTTGAACATATTGGGAGGGTTACGTATCGTATAGGGTATAATAAGCGGATTTCCATATTTATTTATATACAGTATATACTGTATATGCATATTTATCCAATCTTTATGCACTCGTACATTACTTTTACATAGGATTGCTTACTCACTCTCGTCCCCGTCAGATGTAGTCTATTTAAACGGGGATTCCATTGAGCTTGAAAACGCACGGTTTCACCTGTTTTTATTGCTTTACTTCCACAGCTCTTTCTGATGTTTTTTTTTCCAGTCCAATCACTTGACAAGAAACGATGTATGTGAGCCAGCGCTTCGTTTGCTGAGCTCAGCAAACAAACGGAACAAACAGAAGATAGGGGATCAGTCCACCTGGCTTATCGCCTGACATAAAGATAAGAATGTCATACAGTGATATATTATAATTATCCCATCTGTCTGCAGACGTGATGTTTATATTCTGAGCTAGCTTGCATATAGATTTCAGAACTCCGCCATCCTTCTGGCTTCGGTGGTGGTGAACACGTCAACAATAAGCCTTGCATTCCAAAGTTCGTGCTGTTATACTCGTACGTGTATATGCCACTGTAGTGCCAGGCGGAATTCTCGCTGCTAGTGAAGCTATATACTCGAAATGGGAAATATCGACTCGTTACCTGTAGTGTCTCAAGTGAAATCAACAGTGCAGCTTGTCTGCGGAGACACTGAAGGTGCTGCCAGGACTGCAGAAAAGTTTCTGCGGGAATGCCCTGTTGTTTCACAAGTAACTTCAACGGTACAGTTGATAGCCGGTGACGTTGATGGAGCAATAGAAACCCAGAAAAGATGTGGACAGGGGCTACTGAATGTGGCAGACGGGATCCCCGTAGTTGGTCATGTGAAGGGATTAGTGCATTACGCTGTTGGAGACACCGAAGGTGGCACTAAAGCAATGAAGACTGCAACGAGAAGCACTGCTGTTATCGGTGGTGGTATTGGAGGATTTGTCGTCGATGGTCCTGTAGGAGCTGCCGGAATTGGTGCAGGCGCTGCAATGGATACTACAACCACTGCTGTTGAAAGTGCCATTCGAGGTGAATATTGTCCAAGTGGCTATCTCGGGGCTTTTGCCAACGCTGTCAAAAATCCGAATCCTGGTGGCATATTCGATTTGGCAGTCATGCCAGTGTTCGATGGACTGGCTGGTTACAGTGCCGGACAAGCGTGCAACAGGATTACCACCGCTGCTGCTAGGAAAGTCAACAACGTCGCAATGAGTAAGTTATTAGATTGACCTTTTGAATTTTTTATTCTCACCTGACTGGAGTTCATCTTCATAGGTGAAGCGCTGCAAAAGAATGGTATCAACGCGTTTGAAGCTGGTAAGGCGATGGAAGCGCAGGCATGGGTCAAATGGGAGCAGCTTGAAGCACAAGCTGGAAAAATACCAGATTGTCAATACATCCAGCAAGCTCAACAGATGTTCAACCAAGCAAAGGTGTTGCAGGGTGAAGCGCTGGTGCAACCATTGAAGGGACCTCCCAAGCAAATCAATGTGCCAGTTTTTTCCCCTTGCAATGTCGCACAACATGACAGAGACGATGACGAAGAAGATGAGCATAACAAGAAAGAAGTGATGATCAAAGTTTTCAATGTGAATGCACACAGTATCAATCCTGCAAATGAAGGAAAGATAGCTTACCTCGTAAGCCTGTTCGAGAACATTTTTCTTCCCTTATTTTCCCTCCCACTCTCTCACTATCTTGTAAGTCTTCATTTCTTGTGAGTGTGATTTTTTAAATTTCTCATCGTATATGGTGTGTATTAATTATACTTATTATTTGCAAAGGAAAAGGAATCACGATTATAAACCTTTTTTTTCGCTTTGTTCAAAATGAACATTGCAATATATACATTTTCCAGCTTTTTAGCCTTTCACTAATATTTTTCTTTTCTCCCTCTCTTGTAAGATTTCAGTTCGCGTTTGCGGGATTTTCTTTTTCTTTGTATTTTTCATAGAGATTTTTATTCGATTACTTGTGAAAGAAAATGTATCGCTAACTTTTTATCAGTGTTTTCAAAATTAACTTTGTAGGAATTGTTTTCAGTTGCTTGCTTACCGCATGTATTTCCTTTCTTTCTCCCTCTCGTCCTTTCTCCATCTCTAGTAAAACATTACTTTGCATTTGCGCGATTTTTCTTTTGCCATGCATATGATGTGAAGCTCTCTTTTCCACCATTGTTGCCGAAAGAAATACGAATTGGCGTTTTAAAAAAATTCTGCACTGTCTTCTTAATAAAATTCATATGAAAGTTTTCCAGATGTTCCTTTCTCATGGTGGAATATTACGCCTCCTTTTGCTCAAAGGCGAACGACTCTTTCTTCCTTTAAATTTACAGAGATATTCCTCTCGATATCATTTCCGCTGCAATGCGAGAAGTGGACACACATTCACATCTTAACGGAGAGTGAACATGGAGAAAAATTTTACAGAAAAAGATATTAATTTTTGCCGCAGTAGTAACGTGATTCTCGTTGGGTATCCCGGTACGGGTAAGTCGTTCTTCATAAAATCCTACCTTCCTTGAACCATCGTACGCAACCAACGACGTTAAATCGCTTGATAATCTTTTATGCACAATATCAAGAGATCTATGAGAAAATGAAAGCAGCTGCTGTACGGCAAAATCCACAGTGTGAGGTGAATTTTTTTCCAGGGTGTTCCCACCCAACTGATGGATATGTTCTCCCCAGGTGTTCACAACACATGTACCATATTCGACGAAATAGAACTTCAAGCCTTGCAATCGAATCCTGTGCTTCAAATATTTCCGGCTGGTCGTCACCTCAGAGTAGAATGCTTGCTGACACTACATATTTCCCAGCTGTGGAAAGTACAAAAGAGATGTTCTGCGGAATGCCCACTAACTTTTATTATTCAGATTCAGGGAAACAGGTCAGGTTTAATTATTTGCACGCAGAAAGTTTGGTGATGGTAGTGACTTTTTAGTACGGGCGTATGTAGACAGTGTACTCGATCGCGATGGATATGGGTATTTATTACTCGATCATCTGCCTTCCTCTCCCACTGCCCATCTGCTCTCTGTACGGACGAGAATATTCTCCTTCGCCGAACCCCCTTCAGTTTACGTCCGTGAGAAGGACTTGGAATGGTATAAGAAACAACAATAGCAAGAACAGTGAAATGTCCAAAAGAAGCAAAGCCTGGACTCGACGCTTCGACGCCAACATGACGCCAACATGGAAATCATATACAGTATTGTATATGATTTGCATGTTGGCGTCCGCGATTTGGAAGGCCGGAATGCACAGCACTCTTCAGCGGAGAACAACCATGTTGACGATGGGGATGGGTGGGCTAGGTTGAAGAAAGGGAAAGCGATTGAAAATTGGTTTTCACATTACTTCATTGACAAAGTGCCAACAGAAGGTCGTCCTTTTCTCATCGGTTGGGGTTGCATTGTCATTGGCAAGATGAAGCCTAAGATTTTCATTAAGGCAGGATATCCGTCGTTTTATTCGAAATAGATCAAACTCTAACAGCCGCAATTTTTCTCAGTGGGTGTCATTTTCTTGAAAGGACAGTCGAGTAAGTGCCAGTCGATAATATTGGCAAGACTGTAGCATGAAGAAAGATTCATTTCCATTTTTGGTGGTTTGTGACGTTATTCAACTGTAGAAATGAGTGGAAACCAAAGTGACTGTGCTTTCAGGTTTTGGTTGTTGACCGTTGTGTGATGTAAGCAAAACGGTATGACGATTTTATGGATGCAGAAGGCTAAATTTTCGAAAAATAGGCAAGTCTACCTGGAACAAGTGTTCACGTGATGCTTATGACCCGTCCATATGGACTTTTTCAGCATGAGACCTACTACTTTAGGCAGTACGTGATTCTTGTTGGCGGAGGTACTGTTTCGACACCCAGATGCCCCGGAAGAAAGAGAAGACTCCCCAACGAATTGGGCTTTCAGACGTGAAAAACACTGTTAACACGAGACACTCAGAGCACCAGCCCTGTTGGTGAGGTTCCAAGTCTTTGAGGCTCACATGAGTCCACAGCCTTGAGCTGTGCCGCCCCAGTACTACTTATTTAAGCTGTGGTCCCATACTACAGCTAGCCCAATTCATGACTGGGACACTGGATTTTTTATATCCATGTTTCAATCTCCCATAGGAAAAAGCCTTTCGGACCCCTCTTCAACTGCAGTGGAGGCTGACACACTGCAGTTTTTCACTATCTTTTGCTCATATATTCTGCCTTATAAGGCATCCAGCGCTCAGTTCTTGACTGGGACACTGGATTCTTGGTCCTTGTTTCATTCGTCCATTTTTGGCGAGACTCCCAATGCCATGAAGCATTGGAGCTCTAGTTCACCTAAATGGAAGAGAAGAATAGGCTTTGCAGACCCTGCTTGGCCTCTCTCTTCTCCCCCTTTTGTGTGGTGCAGTGCGTGGCTTGAGCCATCTCACATGCACACACAACCCTTCAAAATGTTCTGGGATCTCAGTAGGAGGCTATCGAGCCCGTAAAAATTTGCTGATAGATCCTCCAGTCAAGGGCTGAGTCTCAATAGATCGCAGTTTGGTGGCTGCTCTACCAAGTACAACACCCCGGCCGGTAATTAAGTCGTCTGCAAACGGATCGGCAATCCCGGAACGTCGATTTTGTTTAGGTGACGATGATCGAGTTTTTGTGGACTTTCCCATCCTACGGTTAGGTCACACTCGGTAATTTCATTGTTTTCAATTAATAGGCTTGCGGAGTTCTCCATTGGTTGTTATGCTTGGCTCATGGATGATGGTGAAGACTTGATCTTTGAATTTGTCGGAGGCAAATTCTAGGAGGCGGTCATGTCGTTGGACTCGGCCCCAGCGTGAAGCAGGGCAGCCTTGCAAGATTTGAGAGAGAGATTCGACCTTGTTGCAGCCTGCCCTGCAACAGCGTGTCCCTTCTCTTTTTCCTCGGGTATTCATCTCCCGACACATGAGTGTGTTGTTTCTGAGGCGATAGAGGTTGATATGCATCCGACCGCTTGTGAATCGGGTTCCAGTTGAGAACCAGTGGTTACCTGGAGAGTTTTGGACCTCTTCCAGGCCTTGACCATTGATAGAGGTATGTAAGGCTTCTTTCTATTTAATCTGTTGCATCTACTTAGTAGTTGCAGCACTCGCTTCTAGGTGTTTATTGCCTTTGGTTTGTATTTGTTTGTAGTATACAGAATCGCAGAATGCTTTACATTGGGGGTCTTCATGGTATTTAATCCTGGTAAACTGTTGCAGTATGATACTTGAGATGGTATCAGTGAGGTATGGGATGGATAGTCCTCCATCCTTTGTGTTTGTTTGTGATAAGTTTGAGCAAATAAAGCTGCGTTTGAAGTAGATGAAGGAAGATGGAGTGTTGACTTCACGAATCCTCGGATTTTTGTATCCAAAGATTTGAGAATTCCAATAAAATACCTTCCCAGAGGTAACATATGGGTCAGTTTCGGGATTGCACAGTCTGATAGGATTGCAATTTCGAGTGGTTTGAGTGGCGAAGATGTAAGTTTATTGAGATACGTTTGGAGGACTTCGATCCCTGGGTTGTTTTTCCAGTTTCACAGAAGGTGTCTCTTAGGTATTTGAATGTGCCTTCAATACCAATGACTGGCATATCTCCGTCATTGATAGTAAAGAGGGAGTTGGTTAGATTTTTCATTCTCTTGTTCTTTTTCTCTGGGATTATAGATAGAGATAAACATTTTTCTGTTTTTAAGGTGAGATGTCTTTTTGAGAAGAATGATTGAGCGTCATGGAGTTGCATTTGCATCCCTATGGTGGATGAGGAGAGTAGTATCACATTAGCGGCAAATCCAAACACTGGGATGATTGCGTTTTCAATTTTTCCCCCTATTAAGGGATCTAAAGTGCAAAAGAGTTCGTCGATAAGTATATTAAAGAGTAGTGGTGAGAGGGGATCCCCCTGTTTCACGCCTCTTTGTTGAGGGCTGCTATCGACACTTCCACAAAAGTACCGGGCTTTAGAATCTTGCAGTTATCCAAAAACTTCTTTGCAGTCCAGGGCTTGTCTGCGGTTGGTAGTGATCCATCTGTCTCGTCTGGGTAGAGTGCAAATTTATTGCACATCGAAATCCAATGTTCAGGATATATCCTTAAACGCATAAAGGTTAGTCTCGTGGATATCTACAGTTACCTTTTACAAATTTACCATCTCCCAGAAACGTGTCGTCAGTGCTGTCTTCGTCATAAGTTGCCAAAGCATACAGCTTAAGGTTCTCCAGTTTGGCAGGGGCTATCCAATTCATACCCATATTTGGGTATTTACCCCGATGAATGTTATTGCCAAATTTATCAAGGCCGACACACCGAGTTCCGTGAATAACGAGAAAATCACATATGAAATTGATTATTGAGCAGATGGGCAGTGGGAGAGGACGGCAGAAGATCGAGTAATAAATACCCATATCCATCGCGATCGAGTACAATGTCTACATACGCCCGTACCCCACTACCATCACCAAACTTTCTGCGTGCAAATAATTAAACCTGACCTGTTTCCCTGAGCCTGAATAATAAAAGAAGTGGGCATTTCGCAGAACATCTCTTTTGTACTTTCCACAGCTGGGAAATATGTAATGTCAGCAAGCATTCTACTCTGAGGTGACGACCAGCCGTAAATATTTGAAACATAGGATTCGATTGCAAGGCTTGAAGTTCAAGATCGTCGAATATGGTACATTTGTTGTGAACATCTGGGGAGAACATATCCATTAGTTGGGTGGGAACACCCTGGAAAAAATTCACCTCACACTTTGGATATTGCCGTATAGCGGCTGCTTTCATTTCCTCATAGATCTCTTGATATTGTGCGTAACAGATTATCAAGCGATTTAACGTCTTTGCTTGCTTACGATGGTTCAAGGAAGGTAGGATTTCATGAAGAACGACTTACCCGTACCGGGATACCCAACGAGAATCACGTTACTACTGCGGCAAAAATTAATATCTTTCTCTGTCAAATTTCTTTCCATGTTCACTCTCCGTTAAGGTGTGAATGTGCGTCCACTTCTCGCATTGCAGTGGAAATGATATCGAGAGGAATACCTCTGTAAATTTAAAGGCAGAAAGAGTCGTTCGCCTTTGAGCAAAAGGAGGCGTAATATTCCACCATAAGAAAAGTAACATCTGGAAAACTTTCATATGAATTTTATTAAGAAGACAGTGCAGATTCATTTTAACGCCAATTCGTATTTCTTTCGCAAACAGTCGAGGAAAAGAAAGCTTCACATCAAATGCATGGCAAAAGAAAAATCGGGCGAATCCGGAGTAAAGTTTTACTAGAGATAGAGAAAGGACGAGAGGGAGAAAGAAAGGAAATACATGAGATAAGCTAGCAACTGGAAACAATTCCTACAAAGTTAATTTTGAAGACACTGATAAAAAAAAGTTAGCGATACATTTTCCTTCGCGAGCAGTCGAAAAAAAATCACCATGAGTAATACAAAGAAAATAGAAAATCCCGCAAACGCGAAATAAAGTCTTACAAGAGAGGAAGAAAATGAAAATTTTAGTCCAAGACTAACAACTGGAAAAAAATTACAATAATAGGGAAAATAAGGGAAGAAAAATGTTTAGAGCGGCAAAAAAAAACTTTCTACTGGTTCTACTGAATTTAAAGAATTTTATTTTTGGAAATGAGTATTCCTACGACAAAGCGAATAACTGTAACATATATTTTTGTATTGTTCGAAAATGCCCATCAGTACGCGTTTATTCTATCGTCGGTCAGAAGCAAGCAATTACGCTAATTACAGCAAGCTAACACGTTGGGAAGCATTTTTGCCGGAAAAAAAATGATGGTTGACCCCCCTAACCTTTCTTGCCATCGCAATCTTCGCCAAGGCACAAGTTAAAGGTCAATATGACGTGATCTTGCTTGCGAGAAGAGACGGCAATGTTACCCTGATATTGAATGTTCCTTACAAAGTCATGAGGATATCCAAAAATGAGGTCAAGAATATTCCCGTCAGAATGCGTAGCATCTTCAACATGTTGCTTCAACCCTTGCGTTTCTAGCGACTCGAACAGGCCCCTTTCATTAGCCGAAGGGATGTACGTTGTGAAACCTTTATAAATCGGCATGTTGAGCAACATCCTGTGAGCAGCTTGGTGTGGCAGCCCATATGGCAATTCACTAGCGTCTGGGATTTCAACGTCGATCTTGAAATTGAAGTCGCCGACGAGGACAGAACCCCCGAAATTGGGAACTGTTACACCAAAGCTAGCAACATGTTCCCACAATGCATTCGAAGCGTCTCTGAATTGCTGAGACGTTTGCCCTTTCTTGTAAGCTGACTTGCGTCTGTACAAAAGTCCGAATGAGAAAATTTCAGAGCCTTTTCCAGCGCACTTGGAGCAGTTGTAAGTGTATTCCAACGTCAGAGCAAGAAAGTTGTCGTCATAAGAGTCCAGAAATTCCGCAGACAAATTTAGTGACGTCATCTTGACAGCAATAATCATTCCACCTCCGCGTCTCGTCTTTCCGTTTGGGTCTGTATCAACACGATCTCTTCTGAACAACTTGTAAGTCTCGAGGCCCAAATATGATTTTACGTCCGAGTCGCTGATACGACTGGTCAACCAAGTTTCAACAATAGCGACAATGTGGGGATCAGCGTGGCGGATGTGTCTCTCGAGGTAAGCAATCTTTCCTTCATTTGCAGGATTGATACTGCGTGCATTCACATAGAAAACTTTGATCATCACTTCTTTCTTGTTATGCTCTTCTTCTTCGTCATCTTCTCCTTCGTCATGTTGTGCGGCATTGCCAAGAACAAAAACTGGCACATTGACTTGCTGGGGAGGTCCCTTCAATGGTTGCACCAACGCTTCACCCTGCAACAGCTTTGCTTTGTTGAACATCTGTTGAACAGCTTGGGCTTGCTGGATATATTGACCATCAGGTATTTTTCCAGCTTGTGCTTCAAGCTGCTCCCATTTGACCCATGCCTGCGCTTCCATCGCCTTACCAGCTTCAAACGCGTTGATACCTTGCTTTTGCAGCGCTTCACCTATGAATATGAACTCCAGTCAGGTGAGAATTAAAAATTCAAAAAGTCAAAATATCATAACTTACTCATTGCGACGTTGTTGACTTTCCTAGCAGCAGCGGTGGTAATCTTGTTGTACGCTTGTCCGGCACTGTAACCAGCCAGTCCATCGAATACTGGCATGACTGCCAAATCGAATATGCCACCAGGATTCGGATTTTTGACAGCGTTGTGAATAGCCGCGAGATAGCCACTTGGAGAAAATTCATCTCGAATGGCACTTTCAATAACAGTGGTTGTAGTATCCATTGCAGCGCCTGCACCAATTCCGCCGGCAACTGCTCCTACAGGACCACCGACGACAAATCCTCCAATACCACCACCGATAACAGCAGTGCTTCTCGTTGCAGTCTTCATTGCTTTAGTGCCACCTTCGGTGTCTCCAACAGCGTAATGCACTAATCCCTTCGCATGACCAACTACGGGGATCCCGTCTGCCACATTCAGTAGCCCCTGTCCACATCTTTTCTGGGTTTCTATTGCTCCATCAACGTCACCGGCTATCAACTGTACTGTTGAAGTTACTTGTGAAACAACAGGGCATTCCCGTCGAAAGTTTTCTCTAGTCCTGGCAGCACCTTCAGTGTCTCCGCAGACAAGCTGCACTGTTGATTTCACTTGAGACACTACAGGTAACGAGTCGGTACTTCCCATTTCGAGTATATAGCTTCACTAGCAGCGAGAATTCCGCCTGACCCTACAGTGACATATACACGTACGAGTATAAGAGCACGGAACTTTGGAATGCAAGGCTTATTGTTGACGTGTTCACCACCACCAAAGGCCGAGGGATCCCCGAATTCTGAAAGAATATTATGTCGCTAGTAATTGGTGACTCTCTAGGAATTACAAAATGGAAAGAAAAGAAGCTTGAATTTATATTTCATGATATATCGGTTAATGATGGAAAGATACATTGCAAACGTTAGTGTTGGTTCTGCTTCTGAAGTAATGCCGACTTTTCATGAACTTCCATACAAGCTGCTTTTATATGCCTTTTCTCGAAATCCATGTATCCTAACATGGTTTATTAACGAGTTATTTATTGTAATAAAAGAGAGAAAGAGAGAGAGAGGGAGAGAGAACACTCAGAGAGATAGTATCATTTACACGTTATTAAATAACGCAAGCCTTACACTTCCCCTATGAAATGGTTCGCGAAACCATGAATAAGCCCTCAATTGGTCTTACGTTAAAAGGCCTCAATAAAATGCCTGGAAGAGCACGGATTCACTCTATAGGGCAGATGGTCGTAATTAGTAAATAAATAAATCGGGAATTGATTTTTTTTTACTATAAAAGACCTTGGGGAAATCGGAGTTTGTTAGGCCTTAGCATAACGTTGGTGAGTCCCATAGGGAATTGGGGGAGGATTAAAGGGTGAAAGAGAAAGTCTTGGAATATTGGTTTTCATGTTACTTAATATCTTTGATCGGTAAATGTGACTCGTGTCTGCTATTTTCATAGTTATGTTATTTTGCTCTTTCAGTACGGCAAAGTCCACTTTCATCGCAAGCAGGACAATTCGCGGCTGCTGCTCGGTGACATAAGCACACGAAGAAATATGCTGAAGGTAGGGATGTTCGGCATCACATAAATAATAAATACAATTTAAAAAGTTACACTGCCTCATGGTCCTAATTTAGATTAAAAGTCTAAATTCTCAACCTTCCTCCAGAAGATGTATATTTCCCCAGAAAGGCAAAACGATCAGTGTCTCCAATTCAATAAAAAGAAGGACCTGTGTATATGATTGTAAAATAGCTGGGAAAGAATAGGAATTCCCACGAATTCCCACGAAAACCTGATGAATAATATTCTGCCCTCCAAAAGTCTGGTATCATTTTTTCGCGATCGAAATTCTCAGCACCTGTAGCATCATTTGCAAACATTTTGTTACACGCAGACAGCTTCATCAGTTACCTTAGCAAAGCACCCTCTTCTGTTATGATTGGTGCCATGAATCGTCCAAAATTATTCTCAGAATCCGTCTGGTTCGGATTTTCAGCGTGGAACAATTAAAATCCGTCCCCAACCAATCGTTGGAAAGTCTACTTCCCTTCTTGCACGTCATGCAATATGCATGCATCCACTTTGTCCCTTAAGGAAGAGACTCCTGCCTGTGTTCTCCAAAACGCTTGTCAGTTTTCTCATAATATAACATATTAGTGCCTAATTTTGGTTACAACTTGGTTCGCAGGTAACGATTAATAGTAAAACATGTTGCAAGAAATCTGAAGTCTAGTATATCTAAATATACTTTTTCTTACTGTGCGTTTGTATGTGTGCATGTTGCCTCAACAACGTTGTGTTCTTTCTCGTTGTCAGGACCACGACGGCAACTTGCAGAAGCTGTTGAAGTTGTCCTTATTAGTACTCAAACGGGTAAGTGCTGCTTTTATTTTTCCATACAAAAACTGCATATATGCCAGAATAACAAGAAACAAAGCTGACAATTTTGAGTCTCTTATTATTACTGGTCAAATGGGTCTTTGTTCCTGGCACAAAAAGAACATTTCCGGGACACCTCTAAAGTTACGATATACAGGCAGGAAAAATGACAATACCTTTTTCATAGCAATGTTTTAAGATTTATTTATAATGTTAGAAATAATGCTTGGCGAATTTATCTGTGTGGGATCTTTAATCGAGAGATTAAATCTTCTTTCCATAAACATCTTAAAAGTGAAAGGAAGTCGAGAGAAAACGTATTAGATATTATGCACATTATTCTTTAGGGAGAAGTTGAAAACTATTGCAATGTTCACATTGACCATGAATAAAAGCGGGAGTGGGTTTTCACCGGTCCCACTTAGTAAGAATACAAATGAATTTCTTACTGGAGGGAAGTTCCTAAGTATAGATCGTCCATAAAACAAGGGACAACATCCTAATTGAGAACGGTGAATCCCATAGAAAAGACCGATGCCATCACGGTCGTCATGGGACGACCATGTTCTTTAGTGCACTACTGTTGTTACTGTGAATGGATATTATGATAAGCAAAATAGTTTTAAAGGTCTTTGCTTTAAAGCCTCACCAAAACAATGGCATCCATCAGAGATGCCCCCGAATGTTCAGTTTTAGTTCTAAAAAAGTAATCCTATCTTGTTGCGGATATCAGTAGTAGTAACCCCGATGTTTCCCGTGGGCCAGGGCAAACGGGACACATGAGGCATGGCAGGGATTATCGTATGAATCCCATTGCTAGAGTTGGATGAAGACACTCACTATCAATTTTCGTCTCCTGGTCACCATACATCCTACTTTAAAGTTGTATTGTGTGAACAAAGAGACTAAACAAACCTACATTCCTGAAGTAGCGATTTTGGAAAATTTGAACCAAAATGAATCCATTGGGCATGCACTCAAGGACACTCATGAATGTACGTATACCTGTATATTGCGCAGTTTACCGAATCACCTAACCATGAAGGAGCCATCGTGTGAAGGTGAGAGTGGTTTCATACTGATTGCCATGGTCTGATACCTCGGACACAAAATATATTTTCCCAATTGATTTTAATAAGTTTTTTTTCCCTCCCGATGCTACTTTTATATTGCTCTCTCTTGGATCGGACTACGCAGTTTCTTTGATCCCAGTCATGCCCTTTACATCTGATCACTAATTGACATTTATTTGTATATTTATTTTTTATTATAGTTATTTTCCCATCAAAAGGTGTCCATGTTATTCCCTCTTTTAGCGTTTAGAAGTGTTGAGACTGTACTCGCTC